GAAATCTAATTGCCGCTCATCACTTTCGCATTGGAGCGAAATTGTCTGCTTCGGTGTGTTGTCTGCTATTGCAGACATTGCGTCGCCTTCGTGCACTCGCCCGAACACTCCCTTAACCGCCGTTCTTCCAATGTGAAACTCGTCCAACCCCCCTTTCCAGCTCTTTTTTGACCCTTTCTATTTCTTTTCGTTCATCGTTTTTTGCGCTTTTTTCGTTGTTATCGCTTTATTCTAGAGTAGTTCTATGAATTTCCGTCAAAAAAGAGTACCCTAAATTTATCGTAAACGGTGCCTTTATGTGGCGCAGAAGAGGTTCAGGCGTTAAAGAAAAGTGATAATTGATCTCAACGCCAAGCTGCGACCGGAATGACCATTAAAAGATGTTAGCTGTTACAGCTGGAAAACCTCGTCTGAGCTGCTCCGTTGAGTGTATTGTTTAATTTTAAGCAATTCTGGAACCATTTCATCAAGAACAGGACTGAGCTTTAGGGACCTCAAAAAGGATCGTAGTTTTCATTACGGAAGCGGGTGTATTTGATGATCAAGTGTACAGAAATGTTGGCCAATTTTGCAATACTAGTATACTATATATACTGCTTTGTCATAGCCTGGTCCTTAGACATTTTCCAAAATTTGGAAATTTTTACGGACGTCTAGACGTTCTCGAGTCAGCCCGCACCAGATTAGGTGTTCTAAAGGTTATTCTGAAAAAGGAAAAATAGTTGGAGGGATAGTTACTTCACCTACATCATTTTTATACCGAAATACACTCACTGGTGCACATTCCGTTCTTAAGACGTTCATCAAAGGTACAGTTCATGATACAAATGGCTCAAGGGATATCCCGCTAGATTAAATCTGTGGCCGTCAATTACCGTTCAAACAACTTATCAGACTCATAGCGAAGTGGTAAGCAGTTCTGGACAGTTTTGGCTTGATGTAGTCAGCTTCTCCCGCAACTGCAACAACGGAAATCTCGTCCAACTGCCCCTTACATGTCATTTGTGCTGTGGTAATCTCGTACAACCCCAATTTTTACTACCTTCGGAAAGCCTATTTTTCTGTGAAGCAGACGGATTTTTTAGCTGATAAGAAAAACGCTTTGGTCGAGCACTTCTGTGATGGCTACCCAGTCGGTATGTCTATCAATTACTTGATGAAACTAACGCATTGGAGATTTTGGGCTAGGCTTCAGACACTCATCGTTGATTCCGAAACCTCCTCTACTACTTTAGATTCTTGGTTCCCAACTATGATGACCATTCTGCTGGAATGCAGGAGAATTTGCTTTTCTGTTCTGGCACTATGTCGAATTTGGAGATCTTGGGCGGAGGGAAAAGGATCCGACCTCGCCAATTTTTCTCAAGGAGCTGCAAAGAGCTCTGACGAGCAGCTGAAGCAGTCACTTCTGAATCAATTACTTCGAGCGAAGATATCATGAGACTTAATAGGATCATCAGTATTGCTTCTACTATTATGATTGTAATTATTTCATATGCGTGAAAAAAAGGTTTATGGGCAGTCACTTCCTTTGGAGTGCGCCAGTACCCAGATTCCAGGCGAATTCCCGTAATATTTGAAAGGATATTCGCATACATCATGACTTCTACGAACTGAGTTTGAACGACGGGCAGCTTTTTGGCAGGTTTAACCGACCTTGTCAATTGCATGCATAGTTGGGAATGGACAATATTATGTTGGTGACAAGATCTTCAGACCATCCAAGGCTACTCAGATATTATGAGAGGCATTCCCACCTTCTCCCCGGTCATGAACAGGGAATGGAATCCCTAAGTAATCCAGTCAATTAACCGACCAAACGCTTTCCACCAAACATAAACGAAAAGGACAAAGATCCCCTGCTGTTTTCGGAGGAGAATGTTCACTTTTTCAAGAGTGACGTGATGGGATAGACGGAGACTTTTTTCAGAGACGAAAGCTCCATAACATCCGAATCGACCCACTGGCATCGAGGACTTTCCGTCATCGAATTGATGCGCTCGCCTCTCCCAGAAAAAAAAAATGACTTGAGTTGGATTTGTTATCGAAGGTCTTATCGAGCGAAGGATTTTTTTTTCGATGATTCCATCTTCAGTGCCCTACCCAACTCCTGCGCTTTACGGCAAGCAGCTGAAGACTGTCCATACTTAATTCAATCACACGAACTCCAAAGAGCGCGGAAATCCTGATAGCGCTTACTCATGTCAATCCCACCAACACCGAGCTCTTATTTCATTTTGGGAACAGTGGAGAAGTCAGACCGTCCTGTCGCACATACAGGATTGATGGGATGTCTAGATTACGTGGGCACCTTCTTCTTTAGATTGTGGGCAATAGGTAGGACCGTATAGGTGTTAGGTTTCCTGAGAAAGGCCGGAGTTTCTGCAAGGATCTAAGGGAGGGTCCAGCGAAAACCCTAGCGATCTCTTGATTAATACCCCATGGATAAGCATTGTCAGAGAGAACGTGCTACTGTTACTGTTAGTGTTACTCAAGCTACTATGTAGAGCTCCTACATGAACGAAGCCACTAATAGCTTCACTGTCTCCGAAGTTGAGTGAGCGCTCGGCGTTGGTGTTGTGAGAGTCCATCTATTTGTAGACCGTGTGTTTTAGTGGCAACTGGTTCATAATCCAAGTACAGCAGGTGGTTGAACAGCTATTTGATTAGCATTTCGGAATTGAATCGTATTGAAAGAATTGTAGTGGACATACGGATCGGAACATCTTCCAGTCATTCTTTTGCATTTTTCTATTTTCTGAATAGATATAAATATGAAATATAGTATAATAAAATAATAATAAAATATCCAGACTGCGTCGTAGATATTGCGGGTGATGGAATACATCTGATGGTCAGCTAAAACGCATGCAGTCGTTCCAAGGTAATGGTCACAAGCAGAGCGGGTTTGGACATTGCCCATACAGGGTTACCTGTGCTCCAACACATTCTCCAATACGCAGTCGCCGGTTTTTCCGGCCAAACGATATTGATGCCTCCTTGTTAGCACCTTCCATGTGTGGCACTACACACCAGCCGTGCGGTGGACCACCAACACTGTTCCTACTCTATCCTATTTCATTAGAGCCAATTCGGCCATTTTCTCTTTGGGAGTGGATGGTGGGCAAATACATCTCAGATCCATTGGTAAGAACCATTGGTAAGCGTGATGGCTGAACTCTCAAAGCATTTTAGAGTGCATGCGTAAATGCTACTTTTTCAAATGCCCCAGCAATTCTGAATGGAAAGAGAGAACATGGCGTGCCAAAGCCAATACAACGTACTATTGGCGAAAGGCACATTTCGCTTTTCAATCTCTCTATATAAATAAAATCTAGGAGCGGAATGTAATTCGACGGCGGCTCTTGGATAATGAAAAAACATCGAATAACAAGGAATCAGACAGCCCGTGCGGAATCCAACCGACGAGGACCCATAGACGGGGGTGTGTCCACAGTAAATCGGGCCAATGGGTTGTTGCTATAAAGTCCATAGTAGGACTATCGAATTCAAGTTTAACGAGCTCCAGCTCATCACCAGAAGAAGTGGAATTAGATTAGGGATATGGAAAAAAATTCCGGCCCCAACCCCTTCCAGGGCTACTTGGGATCCGGGCTTTAGAGACAGCTGAAAGTATGTGGATTCTTGGTTGTGGGAAACTTTGAAGGTTTAGGTAACTGTCTGTCAATCACTTTCCCAATGACCACCAACGCGGCACCCTTCAGGCTGAACAAAGGCACCTAAAAGAGGACTAGGCTTGTACTGAGGGCCGCATTGCCACCTGGTGCTCAGGAAGTCATCGGTTCGCCTTGCCGAACAAGGGTAAGCCCTAATGGAAAACGGAAGGAAGGCTTTTATGATATGGGATGGCGAAGGGCGTCTTGGTGCCCTAGTCAAAATGAAGCGGTGTTTTGGAGCAGCAGGTGGCCTATGTTTGGGTTACGGAAGGTAGGCAGATGTGCTTTTCAGGGCTTTTACTCTCCCACAGGAGTCTGACAACGGGTAAACGATCCGGAGAGATGGAAGGCATGGTTTGCCTGAGCAGAATTCGATCCCGAGACCATGCGTGGGATGAAGTGCTCTTTGCCACTTCCCCATACCCACCCACTAACGGGAACCTCACAAAGACATACAATTGGTGTATATGGAAAAGCAAGAGGAGAATTATACAACTGCGGGGAAATCTCCATTACTCAGGTACGTCGAGGTAGTAAAAGGTAGAGACCTAGTGGAAGTAGCCGCTTCGTTAATGCATCCTTCCGATGGCTATTCAGAACTGTTAATAGGCATGAGAGTCACCCAAGCCTAGAAGTTGCTCACGAGTAACTCTAGTGCTTCTCAAGGCTATCTTGTTGATTCTGCCCCACTTCAACCACAAGTACTCCGAGTAGTAAATCGAATTCTCCATGTTTATTTAGTTTCCGTTCATTCCAAGACATCTAAGCTCGCTGTCCGATCGATTTTTCCGCTTCTTTTGGTTTCTTCATTGGGAACGGTACATTCCTGAGGCAATAGGTTCGGATAGAAGCAAATCCCAAGGTGGGCTACATGCAATGGAGAACTCGTAGTCCTTACATTAGTTTCGTGGGTTAGATTCAGCCCCTCATCCGAACCACCATCTCCTACCGTACCCACGACAACTGAAACCTACAGCCTCACTGGCTTGGGAAACTTTCATCCAGTCTTGAACTCATATGAATTCTGTTTTTCCAAATATTAGATCCAAATGTATCTATGTCTAAGTAATAAAAAATAAAAATTACGTAATGAGGTCTGATGGACCGCTTTCTAGGTTTCCCATATGAACAACTAATACCATATTGATTATCTACTAATGGGCGGTGGTGTAGTGCCAAGTTGTGGCACTCGCATAGTCTAGAGTTCGGATCTCGGATCGATACTCGCCCAGGGCAACCATGCCTTCCATCTCCCGAGCTCGGTAGACTTGTACCAGGCTCGTCTGAGAAGGTAAAAGCACTGACTTGTACATCCGTTGGCCACCACAAGTCAGTGTAGGCTACTCATGCTTTCAAATCGTCACTACGATTTTGAATTGAAGTCAAATACAGGGCGTACCCCTCAGACAGGATTAATTAACGAACAAAACATTATGGCTTGATTTGAGGATAGACTTTGGGTTGCCCTTTTCCGGGTTAGACAAAAAGGACCTTCCAAAGTTTGTTGTTATGGTTTTATTAGTAGTTCTTTATGACTTTCACCCTATTTTCGTCTAACCAGGGAGGGGTAGTCTACTTATCTTGGAACTTTGAATTCAAACCCAGATAAATCGATAGAGTTTTGAATGCTGTTTACGAAAATGGGAATTAAAACTGCAAAA